TTAAATGTGTCTATATAAGTAAAAGCCTCCACAGTGATCACAAAACAATTATTTGACTCCAGTGTGGATGAGTTGATGTTTTCTTAAATTACTAATATGAGTAAAAGATTTTCCACACTGGCCACAGACAAAAGATTTAACTCCAGTGTGGATGAGTTGATGTTTTCTTAAATTACTAATATGAGTAAAAGACTTTCCACACTGGCCACAGACAAATGATTTAACTCCAGCATGGATTAGCTGATGATCTTTTAAGTGACTTCTATGAGTAAAAGACTTTCCACACTGATCACAGGTGAATGCTTTAACTCCAGCATGGATGAGCAGATGTTGTTTTAAGTGACTATTGCGATTAAAAGCCTTTCCACACTGATTGCAGCTGAATGGTTTAATTCCAGCATGGATGAGCTGATGTTGTTTCAAGTGACTTTTGTGAGTAAAACAGTTTCCACACTGATCACACCTAAAAGGTTTTACTCCAGCATGGATAAGCTGATGTTCTTTCAAGTGACTTTTGTGAGTAAAACAGTTTCCACACTGATCACACCTAAAAGGTTTAACTCCAGCATGGAGGAGCTGATGTCCTTTTAAGTGACTTTTGCGAGTAAAAGACTTTCCACACTGATCACAGCTGAACGGTTTAACCCCAGCATGGATAAACTGATGTTCTTTAAAGTTCCTTTTGTGAGTAAAAGCCTTTCCACACTGATTACAGCTAAATGGTTTAACACCAGAGTGGATAAGCTGATGTTTTTTTAAGCTTCCATCCTGAGTAAAAGCCTTCCCACACTGTTCACAGCTGAATGGTTTAAATCCAGTGTGGATGAGCTGATGTGCTGTTAAGTTACTTTTGGAAGTGAAAGACTTTCCACACTGGTCGCAGCTGAATGGTTTAACTCCAGTGTGGATGACCTGATGTCCTTTTAAGTTACTTTTGGAAGTGAAAGACTTTCCACACTGTTCACAGCTGAATGGTTTAAATCCAGTGTGGATGAGCTGATGTTTTTTTAAACTGTGATGCTGAGAAAAAGACTTTCCACACCGATCACAGCTAAAGGGTTTAACTTCAGCATGGATGAGCTGATGTCTTTTTAAGCTGCTATTATGAGTAAAAGACTTTCCACAACGATCACATCTAAAGCTTCTGTCCCCACTATCGGTGCGCTGGTGTCTTCTGGCTTGCTTCATAGTGGTAAAAGTCTTTTCCACAGGGATCACAACTGGTTTATCTGTACTTGTTGGCCTTGGGTGGGTTATTTTTAGGTCATCAGTGTGCAGAGGTTTTGGCTTGCTTTTCCTTCTTTTGCCTATGATGACAAAGAATCAAAATAGTGACATGCAGTTATGGAACAACAAAACCTACAAAAAAAAAAAAAAAAAAAAAAAAAAAGTTTTTTTTTTTTCTTTTTTTTTTTTTTTACACCATGTAAGAATATTCAACACTGCTATCAATACATTTTTCAAAAAGTTGTCTCTGTGCAAAATGGGTTTAAAAACACAAACAACTGTGGGATACTGTTTGTCCATGATTGCACCAAATTGGCACAGCACTGATCCTGTGACAAGGTAGGTATCACCAACTAAATTTGTGCCCCCTGCATTGTGAGCATTCACTGGGCACTGTTAGATTTGTATTGTTGATTGTCATTTATGCTTAGAAGTATCTACTCATAATCAATGTCATGTTGGTAGAGGTTTGATCGTTCTGTGCGCCTCCCAGAGCACTCTGGCATGCACATACAACTTAAGGTCAGGAGAGAGGTCATATCTGCTCTTACTGATTTATGGTATAGAAGGACACCTACTCTGTATCTGGTTAAGTATAAGAGCCTTTTGTTTAGATGGACCGCCAGACTCCTGGCACCAGCTTTGGGGAGTCTTCACGGGGTCACATCTTGACCCCCCCCCACACACACAAGGTATTCTTTGTCCACATGTATACCTATATGAAACGTCATATGTTAATGAACCTATGCATATTCATGCAACCACAATAAAAGGAGTGCTATTGAGAAACTGGCTGAGAGTCTGACGGAAGTCAAGTCGGTGGAAGAACACTTGGCTCCAGGCAGGTAACACAAAGAACTTTGCCTACTCGTGTCTTGCTTTTGCTGTGTAGTATATTCTCTTGAACGTTCCAGCGAATAGGTTTAAGCTAGAAATCTATCAGGCACGGACTGCGGATCCAGTTTGCTCTGCCTCCATTACAAACGATTAGACGTGGAAGTAGTAATGTTTGAGTTTTGTGATGAAGCAAAAAATGAGTGGATTACATTACCATTCAGTTTGAGGGTTACAACTGAAAATTATATATTTATTGTTCTCACGAGGTACCGGACGGGATTATTTTAACAAACAAAGAACATTTTTTCTCCTGTAACTTTACTGTATGAAGAGCTAAAACCTCCAACATTTCAGGAGTAGTTAGTGATTATTTTCTAGTCATTGGCTTGGAAGGAAGTTGGTTTGGAAGCATATTTGGCAATGCATCAACGTCTGCTTTGCGTTTGTGTGCAACCCCATTAAAAAAAAAACCTTCTATTATTCTAGCAGTGTGTGACAAAGTGGCTAAGTTTTATTAGAGAAATGGCTACGCATTTTACAATTTGGCATCGTTTGTAAAAGTTTAAATTTCTTCAGTAGAAATGAGCAGAAATGAAGCTTTCTGGTCAGATGGCACTTTAAAAAAAAACAAACAAACAAAAACAATGGGCAGCAACACTCTACACATCGGTAGACTGATGCATGATAAGCAAGCAAATAATGCAAAAAACTGATTTTTTTTTTATAATGGCAAACTAGTCTTGAACTACACTGAGAGAGCTGTAGAGCAAGTGTGATTAGTGGTGGAAGCAAGACAGCAAATGCAAGAGGGAGTTCATGACAATATTTATCAAACATGAAGCATAATTTTGATGCTCTTTTGCTTCTGGTTCAGTGAATTTAGTCAGACAGTGATACAACCTGTAGTTTCAGAATCTGTGAGATGTCGACTTTCAGCACCAGACGGCAGGTCAGCGCGTTATATTTAAATATTTTGGCGGAATCTGTTTGCCTGCTCTTTAATCATTATTGTGTTATTCAAAATACAACACATTTCAATCAGGGAAATTTATTTTTTCAAACCACCCATCATCAAGCCTTGAAACCTGGTGCGACTAACTCCTACAAGTGTTCCAACCTTTCTGAATTACTTACAAACTGCTCTGTCTGCATAAAAGCAGTGTTGGAACACACTGTGGTAAGATATCCTTATGAGCATCAGTTGAACATTATTGTACTGCAGAAAGTGATGTTTTGCCACAAAAAAGGTGAGGAACAAGGCAGTTAACTCTAGAAGAGAGACATTGCAAAGAAAGTCAAGGGGTCAATGAATACATTTTCCTTCACCATTCAAAAGCCCTCAGAAACTGGGACAACTCTGACAGGAAGAGGTCTGGCAGACCCAAAGCCACAACTGAATACCAGGACAGGTTTCTGAGAGTTGACAGGTTGTGTAACAGCTGAGTCACAGGACAAAAGCTTCAAGCACATAAATAGTGGTCATAGTAATCAAGTGTCAGTTGCAACAGTGAATAGAAGACTTCAAGCTGCAGGTTTGATAGGATGAGTTGCAGCAAGAAAGCCAATGCTGAGACATCAGAATAAGAAGAATCAGTATAAGAGGTTTCCCTGAGCCATGAAACACTGCCATTGAATTACGGAAGACTGGAAGGTATAATGAATCAAAATTTGAAATCTTTGGTTCATCACGCAGAACTTGTGCAGCACATATGGAAAGAACTTTTTGAAGAATATAAAGAATAAAACAGGTGTGTTCAGCTGTTTTCTCTGCCAGGCCTATAAATTGATTCCATGATTTCTTTGTTTAACTCCAACTCATTATTTATACTATGGTTTCGTTTCAGAGTGCAATGAAACACTAAGCTACATAATTTTCAATTGAAAAAAATTCAGAAATTAGGGTGTTCTACCACTTTTGACCGGTAGGGTACGCTTCCACTCAAAAGTTGGACACACACACTCATTTAATGGTTTTTACTTTTACTAATTTATTTTACTAATTTCTACTTTATAGCTATATACGTCAAATATATGAAGCGAGATAAAAGGAATTATGTGGCAAAGAAAACAATAATGAATAACTGTAAAATATATTATGTCTTATATTTTAGACTCAAAGTGACATCAAATAGATATTCATTTTTCCATTCAGTGTGGGTATGTACCACAAATATATATTTTTTAAACAGAAGCAATGTTTTCGAAGTATTTCGGTGACAAAAGAAAGATTAGAAACATTAAGGAATACTAGTTGCTTTACATTATTTTTCTTTAGCAATGATTTGTCCCACATTTGGTATAAACTGGCAAGATGCCAGTGTGTGCAGGATAAATGTTATTATTACTAACAATAATCATAATAACAGCAGCTTAATGTCTGTAGGATAATGGTGGTGATTTTTATTTTTGTCACCTTTTATGAAGAACAGATGTTTCTCACTGCAGTGGCTGAGCTGCTCCTCCATCAGACTCTCCTCCTCCCATCAGTCGCCTGTGTCATCAAACAGATCTTTATTTTTCTATTCAGTGATTTATTGTACGGCACTACCTAAGAGCATTGTATTGTATTAGGGCTGCACGATTTTGCATAAAATGAGAATCACGATTTTTTGGCTTAGAATTGAGATCACGATTCTCTCACGATTTTCTTTTCCAGTATAAATATTTATTGCACTTATTAACTGCATATCAACTTCGTAACAGTTGAAACCGCAAAATGTTGTACTGCTTGAAATTCCGTCTCCACCGTTGCTCGACACTGCGTGTATAGAGCAGGTAGTGCAACAATAGAAAAATAGTTGCGGGACGGCACTGTGTAGCGTTTGTCTAGGGTGTTGATCATTTTCCTAAATCCCTCGTTTTGCACAGTGTTGATGGGAGCCATATCTTTGGTCAGGTGATAAGTGATAGCCTCCGTAATTTCTTTGTGTCTGCGGGAGTTCGACGGGTATAGGGAAGCGCTGTATAAGGTTTCCGTTATTGATGTTTGGGTGGTTGACCGGGACGGATTTTCTCCTGTCACTTTCTCGTCATCCCTGACGTGCTCTCCGTTGTTTTTTCCCTGCTAATTTTAGCATCACACGGCACAGCTTCTGTATCACGTGGTATAAGGCTCCGCCCTTGTCATTTGTTGAGCGGAAGAGTGAGCGCTTGTTTTCATGCAGATTACGCCCCGGATCAAAATGCGGTACAATCGTCGTCTTTTTTTTTTTTTTTAATCGTTGTCATTTGGAAATGAGATCGCACATAAGTATGAATCGAGATCGCGATTTTCTAACGATTAATCGTGCAGCCCTATATTGTATAGAATTATTCTTACTCATACATTCACTACCAACATTAGAATCAGATTCAGAGAAACTCTATTAATCGCAGAGTGAAACTGAGCTGTCATAGAAGCAAATATGCAACAAAGAACAAGCACTCATACAAATGAGCCTAGAAACAGTTATGATGGATCAATATTAAGACAAATACAGAGATATATAAATAAAAAGCAAAATTATTGAAAGCAAAATAATTAAAACAAAATAGTAAGATTAAACTGAAAGAAAATGAAAAAGACAGAACCGCAAACGAAACTAAAGAACATTACGTAGACATGGAGCTGCTACAACAGGCTGCCACTAGAACAGTGCCAATTTAAAGACACATTACTGGTTGGTCCCTGAAAGTTTATTCTGGACGTTTTCAGCAGGAGAAACGTTTCGTCACTCATCCAAGTTGACGAAACGTTTCTCCCACTGAAAACGTCCAGATGAACACAATCAAATTTGGGGGTTTACTTACCTGGATAGTTGAGCATGCATCAAGGCGTATTACTGGTTGGTGATTCTGTTATTAATTGTGGATTATGCTGTATTTTATCCATCTCATATAATCGTAACTTTCAGTACACCACCTTCAAAAGAAGTAAAACAAATAGCTGAACTCAAATGATTAAACATTTAAGTCCTGAACTGCTGGAAGCTCCAGGCAGACAAACCGAGACGTTAAACACAAGGAACAAACGAAAAAAAAATAGCTAAGAGAGAGAAACCCTGTAAACAGTTATAGAGTTAAGCAACCAATGTAGTTATAATGTACTCACTCTGGATCCCCTCTCAGAATAACCCGACCTAAAGATCCACCAGCGGAGAAGGAGACACGTGGGCTTTGTAGTTGGAGTAGGACTAGTAGAGACAGTGGGCTATCTGACCTCCCAGCATGTTACTGGCTACCTTGCAGAAAGAACAAGCTGTGTGAGCTACGAGAGCGTATATCTTTCCAATCACGCATCAGAAACAGAAATGCGGTCTGCCGGAGACCAGAGGAGAAGCAGAAAGGAAGCTCAGTACAGCCACACGATCTTTGCCATAGCCGGCTTGAAAATAAAACCTAAAGTTCCCCTTGGAAGACAACACGTATGATGACTGTGGTTATACTCTTTATTCCTTAAGCGAACTTTCTGCTGTTTAAACGCGCCGGGAGCTGCTACTACTTCTTCTTCTTCTTCTTCTTCTTCTTCTTGTTTGCTGGCGGTTGGCGACCGAGGTTTCTGGAGCATTACCGCCACCAACTGGAACAGAAAAATAAAACATGTTCTATTGTCTCTTATTGAAAACAAGTCTTGTTTCCATCTACCATGTTTCCCCAATTTACAGAATGTATTGTTAGTCAGATGTTTATTTCATCCCTACTTTCATTGAATATTATGAAGCCACTGGTCAGTTCTTTCTTCTTCGTACTGTTTCTGGCACTGACCTTTTTTTAGTTACTGATTTCATTTCTTTGCTCAGCTCACTCCACTCCCCACTCATTGCATAACATTTAAAACTGTTTAACATTTATCAATAATCAATTAAAAATGTACTGTCGACTGTCAATAGAGTTATTATATGGAGAAGTATGACTCTCTTCAGTCAATGAGTAACACAGCTAATGTTAAAAGCTTTTGAAATCACACAAAGCAATTTTGCAGACTCTCCAGAGGAGAAAAAAAAAGTACTGACCAGCTGCTCTGCAACTGCTTTACTGGCCCGAATCACTTTGTCTTAGCAGTGCTCTTTGGTACGGTCCTTTTCTGTGGCCTCCACACTCACGTGAGCTTCTTTTTTCTTTTCTTTTTTTTAAATTTATGAACTCACAAAGAGCCTCTTTTACCAGCACAGAAGACTCTGCATTTGAATCTAATCCAGCACACCTGGGGAGAGCAGTGGCTGAACGAAATGTTTGATGGAAAAAAGAATTGAAGTGTTGTGCTGCTAAATTCTGAGGTTCAAAATCAAAAATATTTATATAAGAAAATGCCAAGAGGAGAACAGCAGTCCTGAGTCTGTATGCAAAACAAGAAATCTCCATAGCAGTGATACTTCCTCTTTCATATGTGCATTTATTCTTTGCTGTGGTACTTTGATGTTCCTTGATCCTGTCATCTCATTTGGCATACTCAGTTGATATCTTAGAGCTATTTCCAGGACCAAGATTCTGTCTCAAATCAAGTTGTGATCTTAAAGTCACTCTCATAGCACTGATCTCAGACTAATGTACAAAAGTGTCATTTACATATCCAAACTGATCTCCAGTAAGGCTTATGGTGAAATTGAAGTTGTTCTTTTGTGTCATTGCACACTGTCCATGAGAGGACTCCTTAGTGAGCTGTACAGCAGAAGTTTCAATTCAGTTTTATCTATACATCGCCAAATTACACCAACAGTCACCTGGAAGTGAAAATGTTGTTCACAAAAAGAAGGCAGCCAATAATTTTCCATGTAAGAATAAATCAAATTACTCAATTAACATATTTGGTTTCACTTACTATTACACCTTTTTTCAGTCCTCTTACATCAGTGACAAAGTGTTTATAGGTATCTGCAGAAACATAACTTCACTGTTAAGCTCTGTGTTTTTAGAGAGGAGTTTATAACTGTTTTAGATAGAAAGAAATCACAGGGAAACAGCACTCCTCGCAAAATGTGGTTACGACACAATTTCCCTAAATTTGCACTTTCAAATCACTTTTTCAGTCACAGTGCTTTTACAACATTCACATGTTTTTGTAATGCGAAGGTCGCACAACATGTGCGACAGGTAGCATCAAATGGGTGGTCCTGCCACTCGTAGCTGGTCCAACTGGTGGCACCACATGCACTGGCTCTATTGGGGTAATGAGATGTGGACAATAGTAGAAAATCAGGACCACAAGCTGAAACTGACTGGATCAGAGGCAACTCTTTCAGCTATTCATATATCTTCACAGCGTATCAGATATCTTGAAAATCCATGATCCAATATCGCTTGTTGACAAAAGTTGTCTCACTGCGTTACATAGTGCTCAGAGTTGGAGCAGTAAGGACAATACACTTGTAGCTCCTTTGGTTGCTGCTTGATGGTGAAAGGAACTCCAGTGTGGTGACACCTATTGGCAGATCAGCACCGTGGAGAATGATTGTGGAGATATTTGGCCTTTGATCCTTGCGTCAGTCTTTCTGTGGGTCCCTATCTGCTTTAACAGCATCCCCAAGGATTTCAAACACAGATTTCTGTATCCCCAGCTCATAGTCTAACAACTGTGGGGATGTGGATATGTTGAGGGTATTGCTGGGATTTATTTTTACCTTGTTAAATCCTCAGTTCTTTTGATCTTTGGGCTGAAGGAAGGACAATACTCGGTGTATAAATGCTCAATCAACAATTATTTTATTCAATACAATTCAACACTTTGAGTATAAACCATCCGGATGGGGAGACATGCATGAAGAGGGTCACAGCAAAATCTCAAAATGATGGAAAGTTACTCAAACGCTTATAGCCTCTGGCCATGACTCTCTAAAAACAGTATTTCTTATAACTCAGCAGTATAATGCATCATAAAACAATATCATTCATTCACAATAAATCAGCAGTCTAATGTAATACAAATCAGTTTAAAAAATCTAATAGTTATCACCTCTTCAGGAGAATAATGCAAACTAAAACTACAAAATAATTTCACAATCTTTAATTAGGGGTATAACATAACATAAGATAATATAATAATCTCACAACTTTTAAATGGTAAATGGCCTGTATTTGTATAGCGCTTTACTACTACCCCAAAGCGCTTTACACATCCAGTCATCCACCCATTCACACACACATTCACACACCGGTGATGGCAAGCTACATTTTAGCCACAGCCACCCTGGGGCGCACTGACAGAGCTTATATCTCATAACTAGTGTGAGATTATTCTGTTATCATATGTTATCTTACACCTGTAGTTAAAATAGTTTAATTATGTTAACTGCTGTAGGTCATATATTATCATTTAGTTTAGATGGTGTGCTGTGTATGTAGTTTAGTTCTCATTATACTTTTGAGTTAAAAGAACATATTCACTTATTAGTTTATTAGATAAGTGTGCATCACTCTGTATCCTTGATCTGCTGTGAATGTCTCATACTGTGTTCTTGACATGTTTTATTGCTGAATCATAAACAGAAGGAGACTCTGTGTCTAAGACAGGGGAGATAGACCACATTCCATACCCCCACCTTTACAAAGAGTAGAGAAACAACAGCCGAGGTCATAACTTAGGCGCCGTAAGGGAGAAAGAATGTGAATGTTTGGGCTTTTACGACTAGGTGGGGGCCACTAGCGGCTATAAGAAGCTGAGTAACACGTCACCATTTCGAGACTTGCGGTGACCCTCTTCAGGCATGTCTCCCCATCATGATGGTCCTTATGCTCTTAAGTGTTGAATTGTATGGAAATAAAGGATTGTTGATTGAGCATAAATACACCGAGTATTGTCCTTCCTTCAGCCCAAAGATTCAAAGAATTGGGAGATTTCAACACTAGCAACACATATTTCTATTTTGTATTTTACTCTAAACAGTGTATAGTTGAATAGTCTTGGATTCACTGGCAAACATAAACATTGAGAGAACGCCCTCACAGCAATGTGGCCTCAGCCATAAATCTGCTCTTACTTAATGCACTCTTCCCCTGTCTTTAAATCTACAGGCTAGACTGGAGCACAAGAGGCATTTTTCATGGTAATGGCAGCGTTGCTTGCAAAAGGGTTATTTCCAAATAAGGAGATGCTTGGAAAATTATAGAAGAAGAAACAAATTTTTCACCTTAGTAGACTCTTTGTCACACATAATAAAAAAGTGTTTACTGCCTGTTTGTGACAACCTATTGTCCCTCTGCCAGTAAAAGGAGGTCCATGGCACCATGTAAAACTAATTTAAAATTCTAACCGTTTTGATAATAAATTGTGAAAAAGTATAATTGGAGCACACGTTATAAAGACCTACAGTACAGTTATCTTTTGAACTCAGTTCTTATATCTTATGATAGCTTTAGCAGCAACCCACACTGAAGCTCAACATGGCCACTGTTTCCAGGCTGCTCAAGCATTACCAGTAGTGTGTGCGCACACATGCATGCAAGCCCCTTAAAAACTCGTGCTATTGGCTATTCATGTGGATGTTCGGGGCTTCCATCACTTCTGCTTTACATCTCACAGCAAACTGGTGTGGTTTTCCATAATGTAACCCAGTGTTAAAAACAGGATTAAAAGTATAAATAAATATTGATAAAAACAAAGTTAATTATAATAAATACTGATAAAAAGCATGTAAACATAAGTTTAATTAATATGTACATATGTATATGTAATGTATAAATGGTGTGGGGGCAGGACTTAGTCCTGTAGAGTGTGTTTGTCAGATCCACTGAGCGACCAATCATTGGCCGGTCTGACTCTCCCCCAGTCTGTGCGCTGCTCAGACACCTGTGTGCTTTCATGTGCCAGTCAGATACGCCAGAGACACAGACGGTGAAAGATCAGTTTACCCGTGTGGCGAAGAAGCTAGCTGGATAGAGAAAGTCCTTTTTTCGGCAAGAATAATAAGAGTAATACTGTATTCCAGAGGCCGTGAGCCAACGTGAGCACTGTGAAGCCCCGTGTAGCATTTGTTGCTTTGCATGGTAAGTCCCATGGTAAGTCCCAGCATGCTATGCTAGCGCAGTACACGTGCGCTAGCATAGCATGCTACTTGCCGCTAGCTCCGATGCTAACTTCCGTTAGCCATTTTGCAATGAAAGTGCCTTTTCTGAGGCTAAAGCAATTAGCACTGAGTCTGCTGCACTTTATACGAGATGTTCTTTAAAGGTTTATGTCACATTACTGTGGTATTGATGTATAATGTATGGTTTTGTGCGAAGTTGTTATGTTAGCACATATTCCCTTTTCTCATGGTGCTAATTATAGTTCTGCACAATTAAGTATTAGCAATGTGAAATTAAGTGCCTTCACCTGCACTTTACTTAGCTGAAACTTGATAGGTCTCAAGCCAATGTGTATTTTTAATGCACTGCTGAGCTATTTTGTATTATTTTAAATGTGTTTCCTATGCACTTTTTCCCTTTGAAATGAGAATAATTTGTTGTACAACATAGAATATTTTGAAAGAAATTTAGAAGCACTACAAGCAACCAGTAGTAATAATAAGTTACAGACATGATAGCTTAAATGTTGAAC